TGAAATAACAAAAATCAACCCATATTTATTTCAACGAAATTTAAATCATAAAATTCATCATAGCTAGTTATCCAAACCCCATGACTAGAAAGAAAGTAAATCTGCCGGTCGTTGGTGGCACACGCCTTTAATCCCAGCACTCGGGAGGCAGAGGCAGGCGGATCTCTGTGAGTTTGAGGCCAGCCTGGTCTACAGAGCGAGTTCCAAGACAGCCTCCAAAGCCACAGAACCCTGTCTCGAAAAACAAAAAAAAAACAAAAAAAACAAAAAAAAGAAAAAGAAAAAGAAAGAAAGAAAGTAAATCTGGGAATTTCTGCATCCAAATTTACACAATGCTATATTTTAAGCCTTTGTTTGAACAGTTTTATTGCACTATGATTTGTAAAACAAGGGCCACACATTTGAATGGCTTTTAGTGTGTTCACAATGATACAGCCGTCATCATAACCAATTTAATGATAGTATCATACACTTAAAAAAAAAGCACTCCTGTCTCCTTAGTTACACCAACTACCACTCAGTGCCTCCCCAAGCCCTAGGAAATCACTAATTTGTCTGTGTTCCCAAAGAGATGGGACACTCATATACACAGAATCTTACACTATCTACCCCTTTGTTACTAATTAACACCATTTTAAATGACTTTTTAGAAGATACCCATATTCAAAAGAATTTATTCAAACCGCAATTATTTTTTATTTCTGTAATCTAGACAGCTTTCCAATGCAAGTTCAAACTTCATGTTTCTCACTTTGAAAATGTGGTTTTTTTTCTCTTATCGCCCCCCAGCATGACAAATGTTTGGCTGTAGTAGGTGTCCAGACCTCGGGCTGTCCCTGAAAAAGAAGTCAACCGGTCTGGGTATTGTGTGTTCTCTTACGACCCCTGGTGGTTAATGAAGAGAGTGCGTTTTAAACGAATCCCTTGGAGAGTTTTAATTTCAGAGCAGCGCAAGACTATTAATTAATACCAAATGTAACTAAAATTTTAATTATGTTGCTACCTTTAAGTGTCCTACTATTTCTCTATAAATTATAGACTTTAAACCTGGTCCCAAAGGTCCTATTAGAATCCTGTCCAATGTTTTCTTACTACTTTTCATTTTTCACAAGGAAATCTTAAAGGGTTTCATTCCATTCCTCACCAAAACATAAACGCCAAGGGCCATTTCGTTTCTTCATCACTGCCTTTAAACACAAAATAACCAAGAGATCGACATTTGCTAAAGCTTTAAACTCATGAAACCAATAAAACAAAAATTAATATAAAATGCAAACTATATATTAGTAACAACAAAGTCTTTAAGGTGAAAATTACATTCAGCAATTATTTACTACATCTATTGTTCTTTAAGTATTTATCCACTTTCAGCTGGATTTAAAATTGAAACGCTAATAAATACTGAGGGTTTTTTTTTCTAGTACTAAAGTCCCTTTGTAAAATTTAAAATAAAGGAGACAATGAGATAAAATAATTATGTAAATCATTTTATATATTCCTTTAAATATAATAAATTACCATGTGGTCACATAAACACTAAGTCATCTCTGATGCAAAAGTATTTCTGAACTACTAATAAAACTTTATAATCTTAGAGTCTCAGATATTCACAAAAAGTATCTTACCACAAGAGGCATATGGTAAAAAAAACAGGACTTGAAAGGAAAAGAGAACCAGTCAGAGCAGGACAGGGACAGGAGAGGGGCAGGGGGAAGGGGCAGGGTGGATAAAATAAAAACTCATGATAAATAGTCATAAAAATATAAAGAAAACCATCATTTTGTACAATGAGTACATACTAAAAAATATTTAAAGGATACACACACATATATGCATATTGAGAGTAACAATTTTTTAAACTATTGTCTCCAGAAGCGTTTTCAATTTTGCTCCAAGTCTGAGAACTTTTTAGAAGTGAACCTGTGATTTAACAGATATTATTGCTCTGAATGTCTCCTCTAGCTTAAAAAAGAGGGAGACACAGCCCCAAACACAATTTGGAGTGAAGAATAAGTGTATCTCTGCTAGGACTTCAGTTCTTGCACATTGATTGTGTTTTGGGTAAGTTCACCTCAAGTGCTTTATTCTAGTTTACGCAGATTTTAAAACACATCCCTCTACCAACTAAGACAGAGAACTTTTAAAATTCATATGAAAATAAATACACTTCTTGAGTGAAAGGTTGCAAAATAGATCACTGCATTGGCAAACTTTTAATAAAATAGCAGAAGACCTGTGTGTGGGGTAAGTTATGGAAAATAAGCCGTTTCTCGGGAAAGCACGAAATGTTTGCACACCTGTCTGTGTGCATAAAGCATAGTAGGGAAGGAGGCGCTGGAATAGCTCAGCTGTGCTTGTCTGGAGGCCAAGTGCATCCTCAAGTCCACATCAACACAACTGACTGCCTGTAGGGAAGGGGCAGGGGCTAGTCTCTAACCACCCTGGAGAAAGGAGAACAATCAGCATGACCTTTGTGACAGAAGAAATCAGAAGCAGGGGTCCAAAGGTACTTGGCTTCCTGTTGCCCAGTTGAAAGCCTGTCTCCATAGGCTCTACTGCAGGACACAGAATGAAAAATAGCACCACACCATTGCCTGCAAGACTGACCCTGGCTTTACTTTTTAATTCTTCCTATATTTCAAACCAATATAGAGTATTCTCTTGCCTTGTTTTTGCTTTTTTTTTAACAGTCATTTCATTGAGGCAAACTTGATTTCTGTGATGCTGCACCCTTTGCTTTTTGCATTGCCTAAAGAGTTAAAAAGAAACTTGTTATTTTATTAGTGTTTATTTACTACAATTGTAAGAGAATAATTTGACTCATTTTATTTTCCACCAAAAAAAAATCGGAAATGGAAAGAACATGGTCTGAGATGCAGATTAGTGGTAGAACTCTTGCCTGGCCGAGCAAACCTGGGATCCATCCCCAACATGGCAAAGAACAAATCAAGAAATAAAAACCCCTTTTGAACTGGAGACTGATATATGATCCTGGCCTGGTGAATGTAGATAGACAGGGGGCTAAAGACAACAAAAGACCTTGCCTTAAAGCCCTTCTACCTTTTCTCAAAGATGGTCAATTACTGTTTACAGCTCCAGCACTCTTTGATAGTAATCAGTGGCTTGGGTCTCCCTCCGCAGATACTGCTGTTTACTCGGCCGGCCAGGGCACATTTCCATACAGTGAAACACATGTTCTGCTGAAACCCGACCCTCCTTCTCAGAACCCACACTGCAGAGATTAGCAGGACAAGACAAAAGGCTGTTGAGGACAAAAACAGCCACTAAGGACAATGTCCCAGTACATTGGTGTCTGAGAGCCTTCTCACGAAACACTTTAGAGGAGAAACTTTCTGTTGGGACCTTTTGGCTGGGTTGCATCCCACCCTGTCTGGGCTGGCCGTGGGCTTCAGTGATAGCCCCAATATAATTTCATGACTTCGGGAAATGTGGAGCCATGTCCTGACACGGCTGACAAGGTAATGAGGCAGAGCCAGACGCAGCAGCGGGTTTTCTGGGTGCCCAATAGGCTTATGGTTGTTGCTTTCCAGAAGCATCCAAGGACATTGAAACAGTTGGCAGTAACAGGGGAGCATGTTGCATGGGGAATAGGAAGTTAAATGGTTAAATCTCCTGCTTTGCTTTTGCTGTGAGTTTGCGAAGTGTGCAGAAAGATGTTTCCGTGGAAATCGTCTTTCTGCTGGTGAGCACTGCAATCTCACACTCTGGACTGAAAGCCTTATTTACCACCGTAGCCTTACCTGCTAAGAGGCCTGGTGTTTTGTTTTCTTTGTTTGTTTGTTTAGTTTCCTGACAACTCGCACAGCCCTCCCCTCCAGGTTTCATCCTCTTTCTTGTCACTGTGGGGTAGAAGGGACAGTGGCAACACCCACAAAGCTAGGTGCCCTGGGGTCCCTGGTGACCTTCCCTTCCTGCTGTTCCTGCAACACTTATGTAAGTCTCAAAGAAGAAAGAAAGAGTTTACAGGAGGATTCCCCTGTCCCCAACCCCCAAACCACAGACTTGTCACCAAGCTGGTTCTTAAAAATGTCATCCTCTGTTAGATTTAAACATGGCTCCTAAAATCGGACTTTTGCTTTGGAGACTTACTGGCCTCCTGGGGTCATTGCAACACATACACACCACTGTCACACATATACATACACAACACACACACACACACACACACACACACACACACCCCACCTGCCCCACCGAGCCAGTGCCTCAAACAGACTCTAAGCAGCTCAAAGGGAAAGAATAAAGGTAGAAAGATGTGACCCCCATCACAACCAGCAACCTTCAGCACAGAGCATTGGAAATCTGCTGCCAGCTCATGGGAAAGTTCAGGTTTGGGGCATAGAAGACTAGCTCAGTGGGATAGCACATACATATCACATCTGAAGTCCCGGGTTCTAGCCCCAGACCCTTCCCCAGTGGCCCTCTGGAGCTTACAAAGATTTTTCACACATTGTGGCTTCCTGCATACACAATTAAGAATCATACTGACCTTCATTCTAGCTTCATTAAAAGTAACAAAGTAATTTATAAACAGCACTTTAAAAGGAAATGAGCAGCATGTAATCAGACACTGGGGCCCTGGAATATCCTAATTTCTCATGGAAAAAATATAAATTTCTATTGTAGAGGATAAGTATGCAAATGAAAACTGGAATGTGAATAATAAACAAGATATTTAAATGTCAGTCACGAAAGCCTTTTTCAAATTGCATGCTAACGCCGAGATTCTATAATCAAAGAATTCCTCATTGTTAAGTGGTAAAACTTACAAATGAAATACAAAAGGAACTGGAGAGAAGGGGGCAGGGGGAATGGGTTAGTTACCATCAATGCCATTTTAAAAGCCGAGTTGAAATTGAATGTCAAACAGCTAAGGTTTATTGTACACGTGTTTTTGCTCGTTAAAGCCTGTGCTGAGCACGAAAGTGGCCCGTGGGGATGCTGCAGGAGAGAGGCGGAGGTCTGGAAATGAAACTCACGGTTCCACTAGCCTGTATCCTGTGACACGTCCACCGTGTCACGCAATACCTGGAGCGAATCTTGCTTTTCCGCCTCTCCTCTCTGGCCTCGCGGTTTCATTAGTTTCTCGTTGGCCTCTCTCGTCTGCCGATTCCTTTTCCTCTGAAACTGGGGTGGAAATGTTTGCAAGAGAGGAGAGTGAGGTCAGCTGGTTCTGCTTGGTTAGTGTCCCTCTGAAAGGAGATGTTGTCTCCTGGGCGTTGACCAGGGAGTGTTCGGAGCAAGTCAGGACGACAGGGAACTGTGTTTCCCCCTTCCCCTTCTCCCCTGCCTTTGTGGAAAGGCTTCGTCATTGGTAACAAGGGACATTTCGCACAGAACTTTGGGTACACATTAACATGTAAGGACAAAAATATCCCAAATATAGTTTTTAGATCATCGTCACTTTTGGATTCTTAGTGTGATTTCTCCACTTGGTAGAGAAACAAAGAAATCAGCTACAACGAGAGAAAATATCTTTCTTGCTTTAATTCTTTTCTCGCTTCAGTTTGTTTTCCTGTATTTTATTTGGACATTTAGACACTTTAAAATTTAAAATGAGATTTACTCATATCATAGAGCCTAGGGGTTAACATGCAGCTTCAAAGACTTTTTTATTTCCCTAACATGATTTAAATAGTTACATAGCAAGAAAATGAAATACTGTAGCAGGCACATTACTCATAACCACAGTGGCTCCTCTTCCTGTCCCAGATGAAGACAATCCGTCGTCTCCTTGCCATGCTAATCCACGGTTGGTGAGTTTTAAGGATTAGTTTCATTTCCAAAGAAAGCCTGTTCCGTTGTTCAAAACACTGCAGTGATTTTGGCCGCTCTGAGGCTTTAGTGGCCTTTCCCTGCGAGCCTCCTGTCAGTCTGCTACAGCCCACATACTGGGGAAAAACAGCAACAACAAAACTGAATGAGTACGCATTCCCCTGCCAGACCCAGTGAAAGCAAACCAGCGCACCCACTAAGTCCCCCCCTGAAAAGGACAGCACACACCACAGGGCAGGAGCAGAGCTGTGTGGTCTTTCTGCCAGCGGCACAATTCTCGAAGAAATAATGCAAACCCTGAAGAAAAACGCATCCACTCCACAGGTCCAGAAACTGGAGGGGGGTTGGTCAGTTTAGTGAAAAAAAGAAAACGAAAACTAGGGTAAAGCATTCCGGTTCTGAGCTGGTGCCCTGGCTGTAATCCCCAAATCTGTGCACCCCCACCCTCTCTAGCCTGTTTCCTAAGGCTCTGTGCTTAGTAACAATAGCAGCCACCACCATTGGTGGACATTTATACAGCCTCTCTGCTGGATGCTGTTCCTACATTAACTCTAATTTTCACAACAATCAAAATGTCATCATCACACAGGCACAGTAATATATATGCTTTTAGTCTCATCTACTGGCCAAACACAAGAGTTTGTGGCAGGCCAGGCCTGTAAGAACCAGTTTCCAAAACAAAACCTGTCATTGTCCCCATCTTACAGATGAGATTGCTTAGTTTGTGACTGTGTGTGACAATCTCGGCTTGTCCCATCAATTCTAACTGTATCACTTCATCAAATGAGAAAATTAGGAGTGGCTCCAACTGTTCATTGGCAGAAGGATGCATCTTCAAATCCGCACTACAGAAACCAAACCAGCGGAGTACAGACTGCCCAATTGTACGCACAGCCTGTCCTGTTGGGGAATACCGGCTTTCACTGTCAAAGCAGTCTTTCTCAAGGCTGCTGCCTTAAATGTCCTTGAGGCTGCTTCTCCAGGGTCCTGCCCCACTGTGTGATGCGTATAAGACACACTGGCCTCTGCTCTGCAGTGGGCATCTGCATAAAGTGGGCACCTAAGGGTGGCACAGATCCTAGGCCCTCAACAGTTATAGTCTGAAACCATGTTAATCAGAAAAGTTGAGGATATGCAAACTTCTATCAAAAGATATTAAAAGGCTCTTCCTTGGGCACAGGCTCATTCTTGAATTAATAAGCAGCATGAACTGTTTCTCTACCATGGGGGCATGCAGGTAATTCTTACACAGATGACTGTTTTCATCCACATAAGCATTTTGCCGATAGTCCATGACATCTAGGAAGCGTCAGGCCTGTTAACTACTTAATGCCTTGGAAAAGAAGATATTAATACCCAGCAGCATCTCTCTGTTGTCTTAGGCAACCTCTTCTAGAATCTAAATCCCATTTGACAGTAGGCAGAATAATACATGTTAGTTTGTTTGGGTTCCATTTTAAACCTAGCATACAGAACATGACTCTGGAATTTCTTGAATATTAAAAGCACCGGCTCTACCGCCAGGAGGTGGTGGCTCACGCCTTTAATCCCAGCACTCTGGAGGCAGAGGCCGATGGATCTCTGTGAGTTCAAGACCAGCTTGGTCTACAAGAGTTAGTTCCAGGACAGGCTCCAAAACCACAGAGAAACCCTGTCTTGAAAAACAAAAACAAAAACAAAAAAAAACAAAAAGCACTGATTCTGGTTCAATTTGCTTGGAAAATAGAACTACTATGGAGGAAAACAAAAAAGGAAGGAAGATGGAGTTAGGCTTCTTGTTTGTCCTGAAAGTATAGATTTCTTTTACTCTCTGGTCCTCAGTTTCTCCAAGTGTAAAACTCACCCCACGACTTGAATTTCTATATGCCATGATCATGATGAGTCCAGCCCTTACTGACACCCACATGAGAAAGACAGGTACCGTGAATCACCCCAGAAGGAAGCAATCTGGACCCACCTGTTTGTATAAAACCTTCATCTCCTCAGGACTTTGGACGGTCCAGATTTCACAGCTCCATTTTTGGATTTTTGTCTAGTACAAGGAAAGTACTAGAGAACCTTCTACAAATCCCTCTGGAGCTGCACATGCCACAAGCCCTGTCCCCACTCTTCTCTTCCCCAACATGACAAGTTAGCAGGAAAGGACATGGAAAAAACTTGCTCTAGCACTAATCCTTTATTTATTTCACATAAAAATATTCCGAGGAAGATATCTTAGCACATTAACATTGGTTAGTCTTTAAGAGTGACCGCTTGAGTTTTGGTTATATTACTTTCAGTACTTGTACTTTTTTAAAAATTTCCAATAGAAAAGACAATAAAGGATGTTAAACACAAGGTATTAAAGTAAGGAATCTGAGATTTCCTGAGAAACCTTAACAGACTTAGAAAATTTTAAATCTAGTATTCATCAATCTCAATATCGAGGAAAGGCATTTAAGGTGCCTCTCCACTATTGCTTAGATTGTTAATTGGGGTCATCTTTGTAGATCTCTGGACATTTCTCTAGTGCCGGATTTCTCCTTAGAGCCTTCATCCGGTGGCTGATAGAAGTAGAAGCAGACACACAGCTAAACACTGAGCCAAATTTCTGGAATCCAGTTGCAGAGAGAGAGGAGTGATGAGCAAAGGGGTCAAGACCAGGCTAGAGAAACCCACAGAAACAGCTGACCTGAACAAGGGGAAGGATAGCTGGGAAACCAACATAGGACTTATCCAGACACCCTAAACATGAGTGTCAGTTAGGGGGTCTGGGAAATCTATGGGGTTTCTAGTAGTGGATCAGTATTTATTGCTAGTATAGGAATAGACTTTGGGAGCCCATTCCACATAGAGGGATACTCTGTCAGCCTAGACACATCAGAAAGGGCATAGGCCCTGTTCCAAATGATATGATAGATTTTGAAGATCCCCCATGGAAGGCCTCACCCTCCCTGGGGAGCAGAAAGAAGATGGGATAGGGGATTGTTGGAGGCCAGGGAGGCGGGAAGGGAGAGGGAACTGAGATTGATATGTAAAACAAGCTTGTTTCTAATTTAAATTTTAAAAATAGTCTAAAAAAATAGATTATTTTCTCATAAAAAATCTAGTATTCATTTTCACTTTTTCCTCTTCTTCTGGATTTGCTAATTGATCACACATTTCTTCTTCGGGAAGGAAGAATTCAGAAATCAAGTGGATATATTTTTTCTTTATACCAAGCACAATAGGCACAAAATGTTCATAATTCATCAAGTCCTCTATTATCAATCTCTTTGTTATCAAGCTCACTACATTAAGATAAAAATCATATTAAGATGAATATAGTTCCATATTTGTACCTGTAAGGCAATGCAGAGAAACCATTGCTCTAAGACAACCCTCACTGCTGCTTACATGCTGCAGGCTGCACAATGGTGTTCATGCAAAATGGGCAAATATATTCCGAAGTCACCTAGTTTACCCAGAAAAACATTAATCTTCACTGAAAGAGATTTGGGAAGGAGGATGAGGCCAGAGGATCACAAATGCAAAGTCAGTATGGACTACAAATCAAGACCGTGTCTACAGAAGGCAAAAAAGGGGAAGAAAGAGTGGATGAATGGAAGAAAGGAAGGAAGTCAGGAAGGCAAGTGGGCAGGCAGCAAGGAAGGAGAGAGCTTTGTAGTTCTGGATACACACCACTGGCTACCTTCCAAAAAAGGAAAATGTTCATCCAGGAAGTAAAGGAAAACCATGATGGGTAACATTCCAAATAACAGGTAACCAGAGAGTGTCTGCTGGGGATTTTAGGTCTCATGCTGCAGACATTGCAATGACAATAGACATTATTGTAGCCTAGTGACTACTAGGAACAAAGTAGCTACATTAAAAAATAACAATGCCTTCTAATGTGAACAAGGAAAATCAAATATAACAGCAAAATCTAACCATAAAAACTGTTACAAACAACCAAGTAAAACCATGAATGAATTGCTAGATGAGCCATTGACATGTATGAAAGTACACCCACAAAATGTCAGTAGTAAAATAGGAAGAGAGAAAAGTAATTTTGAAGGAAAACTGATACTATGATTTGGCACGAGTGAAAGCTAGGAGAAACCTATTATTATTGCAGATGGGAAAAAAAGAGAAAAAACCCACTATATTCTGGTAAAGATTATTTCAGTAACTATTGTTGGTACATATGTAATTTGTAAAATGGTTTTAAATATTATAAAAACTTGTCTTTATCCTAAATAACTAGAAAACTCTCATCTTCCAAAGTTTCGAGGCAAGGCCTAACTACTTCCTAGCCTGAGAGTTCAGTCTGTGTGTTCCCTAAAAAAGAAAACACAAAGCAAGGAAGCTCCCCGTCACAACCTCCCCAGTGCAGAGGGTGCCCTTCCAACCCCTGAGGAACTCGGTCTTGCTGCTGGAATCCAAAGGACTCTTTGTTGGTCACTAGCTGTCCTCTACTGAATCCTGGTGTGCATCCGGAAGCACTGCCACGCATGCCAATGCGTGAAGGCTCAACCACGCAGGCTGAAGGAGGACACTCTTCATGACCAGGCCATACAGCAGTCACTTTGCATCCAACTGTTTAGCCACCTTTGCAGAATCAGGCCTGAAGCTCACAACTGGCATCCACCTGGGCCAGTCACCGGGTGTCCTCAGACACAGGGAAGGGAGACATGCCCAATATTCTGAGACGACCCTCAGGCTGCCTAGCCCCCTCTTCGTCTACTGCCATTATCTCATCCATTCTTAGTCCTCCAACTTTTGGTCAACATTCATGGAGAGTTCCTCAGTATTTCATCTTAGGCCCAGCAAGAATGACTGGAATCACCTTGTCACACTACCCTGCCCTGTGGTGGCTGCAGTCCCTGAGTTTAGACTGACACACATTGGATTCTGCTAGAATTTACTTCTGGTTGGTTTGAGTTTGCTTTCTTATTCTCTTTTTTTTCTTTCCTGATATATATAAAATAAATATGGAGAGGATTTGGGCCATAGTTGCTGTCTTTGAAACCCCACCATGAGCTTGTCTTTAACATCATTTGCCTTTGTCATAGTCCATGTTTTTCACTTAACACAGTCCACACTTGGTATGCACAGGTCCTGCACCCATGAATTCAGCTAATCTCAGATTTTAAATACTGGGGAAATTGCATCCATACGGAGTATGTACAGGCTTTTCTCATTATGCTCAAGCAATACCGTATAACCACTATTTACACAGCACTAACATCATGTTGGGTGATACCTCAAAGTATATGAAAGGATGGGGGTGGTCTACCTCACATCTGGCAAGTCATTATATATGGGCATCCTCAGGCTTTGGAATCTTGGGGCCCTGAAGCCAATGCCTGCTGTTAAGGATAAGTGCATGTCACTGGCACTGGGTGTAATTGATTTTCCTTGCTAATCTTAGCAGCAACAGAGTCAATCCACCTGTAA